AAAATCCGTGTTCAGGGAAGGCTACAAGCACTGCTACAGAGACATCACTGAGTTGTCCAGGAAAACTAGTTGAAATTGGGAGGATTAAGTCACTGAACATGCATCTTAGGAGAAATGCCTGGCTCCATCTCTGACATGACTGAGGCATTCAGGTGCTACAGTGAATTGGCATTGAGAATCGTCCAGGCTTGTAAACTTGAAGGAAATAACAAGGTTCTCAGAGCAAAAAAGGAATACTCAGGCTTGCTCCAGAGAAGTTTGCAAGGAAAAGAAGTCCCCTTCTTGTACTTCACTAGATTTTTAAAAAAAATATATTTTAATTGATTACAGAGAGGAAGGGAGAGGGTGAGAGAGATAGAAACATCAATGATGAGAGAGAATCACTGATTGGCTGCCTCCTGCACGCCCCCCACTGGGGACTGAGCCTGCAACCTGGGCATGTGCCCTTGACCAGAATCGAACCCGGGACCCTTCAGTCTGCAGGCCGACACTTTATCCACTGAGCCAAACCAGCTAGGGCACTAGATTTTTTTAAAAATATATTTTTATTGATTTAAAAGAGGACAGGAGAGGAAGAGAGAGAAACATCAATGATGAGAGAGAGTCATTGATTGGCTGCCTTCTGCATGCCCCACACTGGGGATCAAGCCCGCAACCCGGGCGTGTGCCCTGACTGGGAATCAAACCGTGACCTCCTGGTTCATAGGTCGAAGCTCCACCACTGAGCCACACCAGCCGGTCATACTTCACTAGATTTTGAGAAGCTTCAGCCACTCTCGCCCATAAAGCAAGCATTCCAAAAGGACTTCTATGATCTAGATATGTATGTTTAGATACATTTCTGTCTGTTCTTTTTTCTCTTTATTTTCATATTCAGGAATAGACTTCTAATTTGTAATATTACGCCTATAGAAAATAGGGGTATTAGTGTACCTTTCATTGGGGCTGCTTTTGACTGACATTTAGGAAGCGATCAAACAGCAGTTGGGGATCTCTTATGACAGCTTGAGACTCGTTCCCTTTTTATTAGGGCTGTTTTGTTTATATGCTGTCCCCCTACCGCACCAAGCCTCCAGCAGTTGAGGTCTTTGAGTACTTGTGACCCATTCATCTAGCTATCACTGGAGCCTAATATATACTTTATCTGTTCTGGTCGTTGTTATTATTGTCTTTAGGAGGCGTTTGGATTTTGTTCTGTGGTTGTCAGAAGCCTGGGAGCGGGGTTTTTGTTTGCTGGTTTGTTTCAATCAGACGTGAACATATATGTGAATCTAAAGAGTTGGGGGCGGAGGAGTGTCACCCTGTGTGTCCCCCCCTTCTCCCTGGCTCAGCAATTGGATAAAATAAGAACTTTGGCTCTTGGCACCTAACTCACTTACATAATCAATCTTTTTAAGAAGAAATGTCTCAAGGTCCTTTTTCTGTCTAATTCCTGTTCCTTACTTTACTTGTAACCGCTTGTCTCTTGAGCTAGCCTGTCCTCTTCAGACAGCCTTTGTGGCTCTCACCCACTTAACTCTTGTCAACTTGAGGATTTCTCAGTCCTCAAGGAACCATGTGAGTACATTCCTGCGTCATCAGGAACACTTGCTAGCCTTCATGATGGAAGAAAGGAAAGTGCATTTATGTTATTTCATTATAATATTTTTGTTCGTTTTGTTAATCTTCACCTTAGGATATCTTTTCCAATTGATTTTTTTTTTCCCCCCAGAGAGAGTGAAAGAGAGGGTGGGGAGGAGAGAGAGCCCAGGGGAGGGGGGGGGGGGAGAGAGAGAGAGAGAGAGAGAGAGAGAGAGAGGGAGAGAAAGGGGTATGGATTGGTTGCTTGCCACACTCGGGGGCTGGGAATCAAACCTGCAACCCAGGCACTTGCCCCTGACGGGGTTCTATCCCCCTTTGATGTGTGAGCTGACACTCTAACCACTGAACAACACTGATCAGGGGGAAAGTGCATTTAAATGGCATCTACAGGTGAAAGAAAAAAAATCAGTCATGTCTTTCTTAGCACAGTGTTAACTGAACATTCAGCACTGCACGTCCAATAGAAATAAATGCAAGGCACATGCACAATGTAAATTTTCCTAGTTGGCATTTTCTTTAAAAGCAAAAATAGATTAAATTAGTTTTAACAATATGTGTTATTTAACTCATAGCTGATATATTATCATTTCTACATGTATAATCATATTATAAAATCAACATGTAATATAATTAATGAGAAACTTGGCACTTTTCAATTTACATACTAAATCTTTGAAGTTCAGCATATATTTACCTTTATAGCCGCATCTCAATTTGGATGCTAATCTTCCTGGGAAATACTTGATCCAGTAGACTCACCTTCTGTCTGCACTCAGACTGTTTCCTCACCTCTCATGTCTCCTGGGCTCAGAGTGGCCTGTTTCTGTCCCTTTCACCACATTGAAGTGACTAGTGCTCCGTAACCTTGGGAAATGGTGGGCTGGCATTTCAGTTGGTACTGCTTTATCTCCTGGTTTTTCTCCCTCAGCAGTGGACTTTCTGTACGCCTTCATGTTGATAGTTTTTTTAAAATATATTTTTATTGATCCTAGAAAGAGGATGGGAGAGGAATAGAGAAATAGAAACATTGATAAGAGAAACATCAATCAGCTGCCTCCTGCGTGGTCCCCTACTGGGGATCGAGCCCCAAACCCGGCATGTGCCCTAAATGGGAATCAAGCTGGTTCATGGGTTGATGCTCAACCACTGACCCATACCATCTTGGCAAATGTTGATATTTCTTACGGTTCTGTCCTCCATTTCAGCTGCAGTCTCCCCAGATGATCCTACCTAATCTCGGGGTTTAACATTCTTTCAGCTTGTTACTGAATTGCAAATTCATAATTTCAGCCCATAATTGCAAATGTATAATTCCAGCTCTGGAGTTCCTGACCTATATTTTTGTCTGGGAAATATCTCCACTATTGCCACTGGATAACCTTCGAATACTCAAAATACAAGGCACCCACATCGGAAACCTGACATCTGACCACCTCCCAGCCCGTGGGGTGGAGGGCTGCATTCTCCTGTGAGCCTCATGTTATGTGACTTTTCAGGCTGTGTACATGGATTCACTTGGCAAAAAAATCCAGACTTGCCATACTGCATAAGCTTCTTTTTTAAACTTTAATTTGGCATTCATTATCGATCTACTTGGGTGTAAATGATTACCATCTATTCTTGGTGCTGTTTCCAGATACTGTGTTTAGAAAACAGATGAGGGTCTCCCCTTGAGGACTGACTTACATTCTAATGGAGGGAGCTGGACAATGCAGGTAGTTTCAGATTGCTGGGGGAGGAGAGAAGGGGGTGGTGGGAATAGGGGGAGGGGGAGGCAGCCATGGCTTGGGGACTGTCCTCAGGAAGGCCCCTCAGGACGCACATTTTGGTGAGAATGTGTCTGTCTCCTCAGGAAGAGCAGGGGAAGGGAGTTCTAGGTGGAGAAACTTGAGGTTGGAAAGACCCTGGCTGGTGTGTGGACACAAGGACGAGTGGTGGAGTGAGGCAGGAGTCATGGGTAAAGGGTGGGAATCCCTTGGAACAGAAGAGTGATGTGTGCTGAGATCATTTGGAAGGTGTGTGGGGAACAGATCATAGAGGGCAAGGGTGTGGCCACAGCTCCCCAGAGGCCCCCTGACAAGGGGAACAATAGTGCTGTTGTCCTTTCCACTGTGGGTGTGGGTGTGTTTGCGCTCATTTACATCCTTCTTATTCGTTCTCTTTACTTGAGTGTAGCTTTTCTTCTCCTTTATGCGTTTGTTTAGTTAGGTGGCTTGATCCTAGGGAGGCCCTGAGCAGGTCTGCCTGGGGCTGGCCTGTAGTGTGTGGGTTCTTCGCAGCACGGGCCCAGGTGATTTTGAGAGTACGTTATTAAAGCTGGGGACAGTGAAATAGGGAAGGGCTCAGCATAAAAGAAGCCACAGGAGAGCCTAGGCGGGGTTGCTTTGGCTCACTGGGAAGTCAGAGAAAAGGGGGCCTTGGAGACAAGTTCAGGGGATGAGCCTGGGATGAGCTGCTGTTACCCATTGCTCCCCTGGTTGCAAGTCTGCTCGAGTCCCTTTGAGTTTAGGAGATGCACGCCTGTTGGGGGAAGGAGAGGGGGAAGGGGAAGGTGCTGGCATGCTCCTGGGAGGGAGAGTGCTTGCTGGGTCCTTTGTTTTGTTTTGAGGGCTTTTAAAGGCTGGGAGTTTAGGGGAGAATTTCAATAGAATAGTCATCAGCTTTTCCAGGTAGACCCTTACAGGGTCATGGTCTCCGCTGGTTGGTCAGTGCCAGGGCAGGGGGTCATGAGCCATTGCAGCTGGTCCTGGCGTCACCCACCTGGTTTTGCTGCTTTTCTGGGCCTGGAGCTAAAGTACAACTGAGGCCTAGATGTTAATCTCCCGGGAGGGGACCTTCTGGATCTGGCTGTAAATTGCTTGGCCAGTTTGTTCAGCTATCTTAGTTTCCCCATGCTACTTGCCAAGGGATTTTCCCAGCTTCTTACTATCTATCCTGCCTCAGTGGCAGCATGCAATAGACATACCGACCAGCAGCTCATACTAGCTTTATTACTTTATTTTTAAAATTGCTGATAATTACAATAATGCACATGGATGGGCATAGGTCCCAGACAGGAAGCATTATTGTCTGCAAGCAGATCTGGAGTGAGCTGATAATACAGCCCGTATTTACTTTCAGATTTAGATGCTGTGTAAATCATAGGAAAGATGCCTTTTGACTGCTTTGAACTAGGAGAGGGTGGGGCACTTTCATATTTTTGTTATTTTTATAGTTGTTTTGTTGGACATTAGTAGTTAAAAGTGAGCTCTAGCCTGTTTTGCTTGGTGGATAGAGCATCAGACTGCGGACTGAAGGGTCCCGGGTCTGATTCCGGTCAAGGGTACGTACCTAAGTTGCAAGCTTCATCCCAGACCCTGGTCAGGGGCATGTGCAGGAGGCAGCCAATCCAACCAATCTATGTGTCTCTCTCACATCGATGTTTCTCTCTCTGTCTCTCCTCCTCCCTTCCACTCTCGCTAAAAATTAATGGAAAAATATCCTTGGGTGAGGATTGACAAGAAAATAATAATAATAAAAATAAAGTGAGTTGTGACATCAAGATTGGTATCCGAATAGTGCTTGCACCTAGTAAACATAGTGAAACATTTAGCAGAATAGCATGTAGAAATTGCTACTTGTGCTTTAAAATAGAAATTTGCCTCTTTCTGCCCTGTGAAAGTCATTTGACAAATTGTCTTATTTTGTACTTACAAAGATAAGGGTTATTCACTTAAGAATTTCTGCCCTTTCTTGCCTTTTGGCATCACAGAACCTTAGAGAGTTAATAATAAGCCTTTGGTTTTCATGGGCTAGTAGAAACTAAGAAAAAAATTTTAGATAAGGTCAATTCTTAATATTACAGAATATTATTTTAAAACAAACTACCTATTTACTAATGCCGTCGTTTTATGAAAAACATTGTAAAGGTGGAAAGGAAGTAATATTAGAATTCAGGACAGTCATTTCTCAAGAGAGAACAGTTAGCAATTCTGTTGTCCTCTAATCATGTGTGCACACAAATGCACTCTAGACCTTCTTATTCTTCAGGAGGCCGCTGAAAACCTGTTGCAGACCTTACTAGCCCCCCAGTGAATGTCAGGGAACCCCTGCTTTAACACAGCAATAAAAACCACTCTTCACATTAAAACATGAATGTTTTTAGCTGCATGGATTTGTTTTCTTTCCCTGGATGTATGAAAGGAAAAGGGATCCAGTAGAATCCATTTGAGGTAACATTTTTTTTTTTAGTTGATTTTAGAGGGAAGGAGGAAGAAAGGGAGAGAGAGAAACATCGATGTGAGAGAGACACATAGATCAGTTGCCTCTGTGTACGTGCCCTGACTAGGAATCCAACCCACAGCCTTTTGGTGTATGGGATGACTCTCTACCCAACTGAGCCGCCTGGCCAGGGCTGTGGTTGTAACATCTCAAAGTCAGACAGAGCTCTGCAGCCCAAGCAGACATGTTGGATAGTTTCCTGACTTAACCTTGGTAAATTCACTAGGTTGAGTATTTATTTTAGTGAAATGGGTCTGTCTGAATACTTCCTTAAAAGGTGTAAGTTATTACTTTTCAAGTACATGAAATTTTGAGATATGCTAAAAATTACCTAATTTCTAATGGCTGTGAGAATGCATTTAATAAACACAGTATCACAAAGCTTCAGATCAACCAGAAGTATGTTTATAATTTCTGTTAATATTGCCAGGTTTGTGCTTGGAATGCCACAGAAAGCCTCCCATCAGTTGTATTTCTGTCGCCTGTGACTCAATAGTAATGATTTAGAATGAACGTATTTAATTATTAATATTTAATCAGCAATACTTCTGGGTGTTTTTTAACTTGAATCATTTTACCCTTTAAGGTTTAGAAAGCACTTTCATATATAAATTCCCCCAGGCTTGCACATACTTTATTTAGTACATTCTTAGTAAATAATTGTTTAAGTAATACTGGCCCTGCGCTCAAAGGTTAAGCCCAAGTTCACGCCATTAACATCGTCTTATATTAATGCTCAAGCCTCCTGGCTTTTTGACCTCTGCGTTCAAAGTATGACAGATTGCTGCGGAGCTTAGGAATCATGCAGAATCTCATTCAAGGAAACCTCTTTGTTTCGCAGCCATGTTTCTTAGATATCAGGAGTTTTTGGAAAGTGGAGTTCTGTCTGTTGTAATGTGAACCGAAGTCCAAAGTTAATATTGTAGGTGTCATTTATCGTAATATCTAAAATTTGAGTAATGCCATAGTTACATTGCCCTCAAGTGATAGCTAAGATCAAGAGAGTGAGGAATAACTTCCATGTAGAAGGAATATCTCTTAAGAAGACTCATTTAGAGAAATAATTTGCATAGTGCTTTTTAAAAAAATCACAACAACGACTTTAATAGTAACTGCAGATTCGTGCAGACTCCACTTCTCAGCCAATGGAAAGCCAGAGCAAATCCAGGAAGCCAGCAGCTCCTGGTGATTTTCCCTTAAATAGGGCAGCATTAAGATGTTTTTGTAAACATTTGGCAGCTGAATTCCCACAGAATGAAGTGTAGAGAATTATTGCAGCCTGCTCTAGGCATGTTCAGTTTAATCTGTAAAAAGCAATGTGCAGTCCTTTAACCCCATTTCATGCTCCTCCTGGCTTTGTGATGACTGGCCACGTAAGGATCTCACGTGTTCTTTCGTCCCTGGGTGCCCGTGGTTTAAGCCCCTGTTCTGGGTAATGGTAGCCACAGAGAATTAAATCCTTAGGAACCAGCCCTGCGGTAAGCAGGCTCACATTTGAGTGCGTGCTCTGAGGTCGGCATCGTGCTTAGTGCATTATCTCCATTTAATCCCCACAAGCAGCCGGGGAGCAGTGTGTGTGTTAGCAGCCCTGTTGTACAGACAAAGCAGCGCATCGCACACTTCTTCTGAGATCAGAAGTGGGGTGAGCAGACGCCTGATGGTTGGACAGGGCACGTCGTCCTACCTGTGGGAATCAGTGTCTCAGGATCCCTATTTTATTATGGGACATTGGAAAGAAACAGGAGCCAGTAAAAAACTTGAGAATTTTAGGTCCATAAACACTGTTCTGCATCTTATTTTTTTTTTTAAATATAAAAGTACTGCATGTGTTTTTCAGTAACTTCTTTTATAAAAGACTTCCTGCTCATCTCAGAGACACACGCATAAAGACAGACCTCGTGTAAATCTTGGTGCTTGGACCCAACCAGTGTAATCCAGATGGACAAATTATAGGGACCCTGTACAAAGCCTCGGAGACCGTCTAAGCTACTTTTAGTCTTGGCAGTGATACCTCACTTATGGTTGCGACCCACAGGTTGCGAACTGCTGCTTTAAAGGCTCCAAACTATAGGCACCTCTTTGACAGTAACAAGAGTGGACTTTCTTATGTCTTAGGCTCTGAGCAGAACTGCAATTGTCCTCCCATTGGAGAGAAATCAGACTTAATGTTTGTACACATGGGATTTTACCCCGTTAGAATGAGTGCTCATGTGTTCAGAATAAAACAGTATGTTTTGTAGGCATTGGACCTGCTCTGATTATCTTACTATTTGCCTTTCTCTTTTGACAGATTGAATCCATGTAATCATGATTGAAATTCAGGCAGGCAATGAACAGGATTAAGAAACCAAAACCAGTGAATTTTGAACTAATTTTAGAGTTTTTTAAAAAAAGTTGCAAAAATACTATAGAGGCTCCCCTATACCCTTAGCCCACCTCCCTTAATATTAACATCTGATATAACCACAGTGCAGCTATCAAAACTGGGGGATTGACATTGGTACAGTGCTATTAACAGATTTACAGCCCTGAGTCCAGTAATTTCTCCGCTTCTCCCATTAATGTCCTGTCCCTGTTTCAGGCCCCCCATTTGCATTTACTTGTCATTTCTCCTTCGTCTTTTCCAGTCTCTAAGTCCCTCTGTCTTGCCGAAGTCTTTCCTGTTGGTATTCTTAAATGTCTTTTTGCTGGTAAGGTTCATGTTGGTGCCTCCACTGTGAAGTAATTTGTTTCCCTTTTTGTAGTCAGTAAATATCTTAGGGAACTATCTTGACACTATGGATTTTAAGTCATTTTAATGTACAAATCACTAGCATCCAGATAATAAATAGATGTTCCAAAGGCGCTTACCATTGCTCAGATTTATAAGAACTAGAATTGAGTTAACTTGACTTTGCAGGGTGAAGCTTGGACACCTCAGAGGCTGGCATGCAGCACCTTCCTGTCCAAGGAGACATGATTCATTCAGTCATAGGATGGAACCCTCCTCTTTAGAAAGAAGCAGCGCCCTCCCCGCAGGCACCCTCACAAACGCTAGAGCCAGATTAGATGCAGCAGTAGCTTCAGTGAGGGAGGAGGTAATGGGCTTGCTTATTTGCTTGGATTGGGAGCGCTGCACTGGTCCGGAGTGGCTCTGTGAAAGGAGGCGGGGCTTAGCTGGGGGTGTGGGGTGCAACTCTTCCAGTGATGATTAAAGGGCTGGGGATAAGTTAGGTTCAGACTTAGATTTATTTATTGCCTTCAGCCATTTCAGGTTTTCAACCAAGTTTCTAGAAGCACTTTTACCAAGTTGAATTTCTGTCCTTAAATAGCTAAACTCTCTTTTCCTGATCCAAATTAATACAATGGAATTTCTTATTAAGAATGAATTATTAAGTAAAATGGAAGCACTGGGCTAGGACAGCAATTGCTGTAATTTGTTTTCAAAGCCTTCAAAGTGCTGCAGCGCGCATAGATCACAGGCACTGGCTTAAGTGCCAAAGCACGGGCATTAATTTCCTTTCGGAGTGGATTCCAGGTTCACAGGATGTCAGAACTGCTGACTTGGCAGTGACGTCCCATTTGTAACATGTTAGATCAGGAAACAGATTGATTTATACGTTGATGTAATGGATCAAGGCACAGTGTGCGCTTAAGAAAATGGAGAGCCCATTAAATAAAAGCATTTTCAGAGGGAAGAAGTACAAACATAGAAAAGATCCGATTATACTCTAGATAAGGTGGGGTACGTTTGATTAGTGGATTCCTAGACACGGTCCACAGAGGCTTTTTGTATTTCAGATGATACCTTCTTGAGAGTCTCTTATGACCACAAGGATTAATCTTTCTGAACTCAGAAGTGAATCACTGCAGCAGATGAGCTGTCTGGAATGGTGCCAGTTACTCTCCTTTTTCTTGGTGGTAACTGATGTGAGGGTGTCGCTGCTTAGCTGCCTCTTCCTGTTGCTTTAACCTCTGGTATTTTAGATTCTCTTTAGGGAAGGGAATGCTGACCATCTCAGCACAGAGATCAAATGCACTTACCACTGCTGTGTTGACCTCAGCGGTTGACCCACACACTGAACATTTATGCAGCTGGAACCCTTGCGGTCTTTTATCTAACAGCCATAATGAGTAACGCGTGGAACGTAATCTTTGGTGCTGATAAATAGAGGGCTGCCTGCACAGTTCCGACCACTCCACAGCTGGGCCTTGGGTGACCTCGTGCAACTGACTGACCCTGTGTCTTACGTGTATTCATTTTTGGAATCGAAGAGGTAAATCTCCATCCCAGCCCACCCCCACTCCCCACTTGAAAGATTGCACATCACACCCAGAATTCTATTTGTTTAATAGCTGTCTTTAATGTTAAAAATATACAAGGCCAGCCCTGCCCCATGTAGCTCAGTTGGTTGAGCATTGTCCTATGCACCGAGAGGTCCCCAGTTCGATTCCCAGTCAGGGCACATGCTGGGGTTGCGGACTGGATCCCCAGTGGGGGGCATGCAGGAGGCGGCTGATCGTAATCTAGGTTTCTAGCCATAATCCTTAGATATGGCTCCAAAAGAAAGGCCACCACGAGAGGCATTTTGGTGCATGTCTTGAACTCATTGTGAGAATTCACACATTTGTCTTGTGCATCCTTTTGCCATTTAATAAATACCGTTAGTGTCCTTTTAAATGTTTTTTTTTTCTTTCTTTGGGGGAGATAGGACTCAACACCAATCTGTAGCTTCACATGCAGTTATACTGAAGGCACAGGATCTTCCTTCTGCTTTAATAAGTGACTATCATCGCAGAGTTACAGTCGATTCTAGTTCATAAAGTTGCAAATTGTTCTCCTGATTGGGTTTAATCAGGTAGTTTTCAACCCAGATTGATGTAGGCAACGTTTTTACCCCAAATGCCCTTTCTCCCAGCTGTCCAGCAGGTGTTTGCGCTTCCTTCTCTTGTACTAGTGGAGAGCAGGCTAATTTTCATAAGTTTCACAGCAAAAGGTGTAGGACGGTAAATTTGTCCTGGAAAAGGATCGTAATGTATTTCACAATCTAATGTAGGCTCCTGATGGGGAGGGCCATTCGTGCCTGTGTCGTCCATTAGCACAGATAAGTAAGAACTGCTTGGAAAGCACACGTTTTCCATGTACTCAAGCCAGGCCTACCTTTCTTTACAGAAAACCATTTTATGTTAATTGCTCTCTTTAAAAAGAACAATAGAATAGCCCTGGCCAGGTAACTCAGTTATTAGAGTCCCAGTACACCAAAGTTGTGGGTTCAATTCCCGGTCAGGGCACATACAAGAATCAACCAGTGAATGCATAAATGAGTGGAACAACAAATCTCTCTCTCCCTTCCTTTCTCTCTCTAAAAAATATAGAAAAATATAATCATGCAATTTAACCGCCCCCCCCCCCGTCCCCACAATCCAAGTTTTAACATTTTTTAAAAAGCTATTTAATTTTTATTTTGAAAGAACTTTCACTAGGAAAGACCACTGAACTCCACTGTGGATCAGCCAGCAGTGTAGGCCTATTTCTAGATGTTGGGATGCCTGTGCTTTTTTCCTACTGCGAGAGACTTTTCAGGAGCCTTTCTGTCCTCAGGCCTAGGTGTTATTTCTCATTTGTAACTTAGGAGTTGGTAATGGCTGTGATCTTTTGCAAAGAAGAGAATGCTAGCCAGAAAAAGACTTTCTGCAGTAGTTGATTCTTTTTAACTAACACAAGGTAAAATTGTTCATGAAATCCCTTTTAGTGTTTTGTTTCCACGAATGACACCATCACTTCTTAAGTAACACTAATCTGTCACCAAGTCTTGCTTGTTTTGCTCTCTGTGCTCTCTTGACTCTGTCTCTCCATCACCCTCCTTTAGCCCAAGCTAGCATCGCTCACATGTGGACTGTGCAACTCCAGCTTCCTGAGCCATTGCCCTGCATATACTCTGGGTTCCTTTCAGTCTGTTCTTCACCCTCAACCAGAGAAAGCATCAGAGCTGCATTTTGAAAATACTAACTTTGTGCTTAAAACCTCTCTGCACTTCCAGCGATGAAGACCAAAGTCCATTCTTGGTCTGCAGACTGTTTAGTCTGTCCCTGCATGCTCCCCTCCCACCTGTACCACTCCAATTCCTCTCCGCTTACGATGCTCAAAGCTCTGCTCTACTCAGTGCCATTCTCTTCAGGAAGCTGTCCTGATCATCTCATCCACGCCCAAGGCCGAGTCCCTTTCCATATGCTTCTTCCGTGCCGTGCTCTTTTCCTCCTCAGGATGCCTGGGCATGGGATCACGCTTTTTGGGTGTATGGACTGCTGCTCTAGACCGCAAGCCCCGTGAGAGCAGGGGGTCGTAGCTTTCTGCTCACCCTTGTGTCCTAAGCATTTAGCTTGTTGGTTTGCATAATAGTAGCTGCTCAATAAAATTTGTGTACGTGAATTGAATAAAAGTACTGGAACTTTAGACATGTTAGGCTTTTGTGGTTTGATTTATTAAGGAACAGAAAGTAGATTTGCTTGTAATAGAGGAGGACACAGTTACATTATAGGTTCCCAAGTCAGAAGTATTCAGATGGGGGGAGTGGGGACTAAATTTCCCATTGTTCTTTCGCTCTGATCATGTATATCCAGAGGTCATTTTTATTCTGGGTTAGCTCCTGAGAAAGGGATTTGTTTATGATGTAGTAGTTACAGTGAAATATTTTAAAAGATCGGTTCTACTGTCCCAGATAACTGAATATGACTGCCTTGGTGTGGCCTTCTTGCAGTAAACATGTTTTTTGCCCCCCTTTCGTAGGCTCTTGCGGCCAATGCTGGAACAGGATTTGCTGTCGCCGAGCCTCAGATTGCAATGTTTTGTGGAAAGTTAAATATGCACGTGAACATTCAGACTGGGGAGTGGGAACCTGACCCATCAGGCACCAAGAGCTGCTTTGGAACAAAAGAAGAAGTTCTTCAGTACTGTCAGGAGGTAAGAGTGTTGCCAGAAACTTAAAACCGCTTTGTTTCTGGGTCACATTTGAGCCTATTTGCCTTAGAAATGGATATTCTATCATTCTTTTCTTTTGACCTAAGACTAAGTGGCTAAAGACTGGTACACCGGGCCTTTGTTTCTAAGCTGTGAGGCGACTGAGACTTCTCGAAAAGGCTTCTGCCTTTGTGTGCTGTGAACCTCAGTTCCCTGAGGAAGGAATTCTGCACATCCTGCTTCTCTCGGCTTCCACTTGTTATAAGAAGACGCGAAGCAGACATGTCATGTGTGTGCTTGTGGTTTCCACTTGCTGTAAATGATCATCTCAAGTCTGAGTCAACTTGGTTTTGGGTTAAAACTTGACCTAGAAAAGGATATAAGAGGTTTGAATGAACTTCTTACTTACCAAGACTGGTATATAGGGCCAGGGTCCTAGCATTGTTCTATAATTTTACTAACAGACACTTCCATGGACTTGCCTCTTAAATGTTTTAGTTCATGAACTCAGCTACTTACACGTACCCTACAAGCATCCTTGATGTCTAGCAGATTTATTGGGCTTAAAACTTGCTGCTTTTGTATTAAAGAGTTCTTTTTTTTAAGAGAACCCATTAGTAGTCAGAAATCTGCCTTTCCCAAGAAAACTAATCGTTATGGTATCTTTTTACTTGAAGAGTTTATCTGGAGCCAGGGGCAACCGAGTGGAACTTTAGATTTACATAGGATAACAGTGACACTGAGTAAACAGGCACTCAGCCTTCCTGGGAGTGAATGTGCATTTATTAGAGACCCGTCCGCTCACTGCCAGTGTGCCTTTTCCTGTGCAGATGTACCCAGAGCTACAGATCACCAATGTGATGGAGGCCAACCAGCCAGCCAGCGTGGACAACTGGTGCCGGCGGGACAAGAAGCAGTGCAAGAGCCACATTGTGATTCCGTTCAAGTGTCTCGGTAAGTGTTCTGTAGACATTCCTGGGTGCTTCTCAGGAAGTGGGGTCCCTCGTTTTTTAATTTAAGTTTCTCTTGACTCACAGTGAACTATCCACATCTGTTAAGCACCTGCGGGCTACACGGATTTATTGTGGGACTTCCTCTTTTGAATATTTACTGCTTTCTTTGTCGATAATGGACTTGTCTTCGCTGGTCACTAACTCGCCCTCTCCCATCGTGGGCATCCTTGTCTTTTAGGGAAGCACCTTTTCCATGCTGCCCTCAGAGTGGCCCAGCTCCGCCTCCAGGGAGAGGGTGAGGTGTTAGAGTCCTAGGAGTGCGGGGGACCGAGCAGCCCGTGGATACAGCTCTAATGTGGACATCCGGGATAGTTCTGTAGATGTACATACTTTTAGCCATGAATTTAACTTTTTCCCTTCCCTCCCTTCTTTAAAACCTTTCCTCAAATGGAATATATTCCTTTTCACATTCTCCCATGCAGCAAAATAACAGGAAGAGTCAGCATCTGAATAACAGTATTTAAAATATATAGCAATTACTTTGTTTTAAATACCCAGTTTAAATTTTTTGAGATGAGGTTTAAGGATGTTCTTCCATTCCATTTGGCTCCAAGAAATCTCTGGTTATGAGGTTTCATTCATTCTCTATAAAATTCTCAAACTAGTGTTCTTGACTATTTGTAGATAGCACTTGGAATCACTTCTGCCTTTTGCATCTTTACCCTTAAAGACCTTGCAGCCTGGTCTTCGCCCTCCTGTGTGTTCTGTGTGTTCTATGTCCCTTGCTGGCTCCACTACCCACCCAGAGCTCTGAGCTTGAGATCTGGGAGCCCTTTGTACATCCAGTCAGTTTTCAGGCCAGTCTGATTCTCGCCTCTGGAGTATGGCTTAGGTCCATGTTTTAAGTGCACCAAGGCGCTCCAGGACATCGTAGCAGACTCACAGCAGCATTGTTGTGGGATGTTTGGGTTTTCAGGGGAAACATCTGTCAGACGTTCCGTGAACTACTAGCCGGGAGTAATCACAGTTTCAACACCTGACCATTTTATTCCTTTCTATGACTTCATCTTTGTGGTTCCTGTGATAAAAGGCCAGCATCACACAAAATCACTGTAGAAGAAAGAAGGGTGAATGTGGTCAATGGATTCCAAGGTTGGAAGAGTTGTGTAGGGCCCAGCAGGCCCTAAGGGGTTAGGACACAATTACTTATTTACTCACTTGTTGGCCTAACTACTTGGCTTTGGGGCATTCTTTTGTCCTAGGGGTGCTGTGACTTGAAAATTTGGGAACCTCTGGCTTACATCCTTTTCCAGCTGACTCCCCTGCTCCAGTTCAGCTTTCCCCCATTTCCTTCCTAGTCTAGGCTGATCACAGCCTCCATGTCTCTCCCTCAGGTCTGTTGTCAGTGTGTTGCCTTCTGATCTAAAGTGAAGATTGAATTAAAGGGTGTTATCCGCACATAACACCCCTTAGTAGCCCTTCCTCACTTAAAAAATCATCTTTAATTAAGCTCGTTAGCATGGATTAAAACTCCATAAAGTGGCCCTTGCTTAGCTCTACTTTTTTACAGCACCTCCACGCCCCCTTTCTGTGCTTCAGACTCTACACCAACATGGACATCTCATGGCTCCTGGCCACTTACCATCCACCCATAGTTTGGAATGATTTTCCTCTATTTAACTTTACTTGGGAAGTTCTCCCTTTAAGACTTATCTCGGGGGATGCTTCCTTTAACAGAACCACTTTTATTTTCTATCCGGATAACCATATCTGAAGTTCTCCATGTTGTTGCCATTACACCTGTCACACACTGTACAACCAGTGGTTTCTGTGTATGCATCTTTCTCCAACCTTGTTGTAAACACCGACCCAGCTTTAATTATTTTGTCTCCTCAGCACCATTGATTTTTTAGAGAGAGTGGGAGGGGTGGGGAGAGAGAGACAGACAGACAGACAGACAGACATTGATGTGAGAAAGACTCATCTATTGGTTGCCTTCTGCACCTGCCCTGCAATCAAGGTATGTGCCCTTGACTGGAATCTGACCTGGGACCCTTCAAGCCTGCAGGCCGACACTCTGTCCACTGAGCCAAACTTGTTAGGACTTCATGCTGGTTCCTGTGTCTTTTTACATGTCCCTGTCTTTCTTTGAAAGCTTCCTTTCTGGTACAAAAGGGTGCTCTAGGCTCATCCTATACTTTCTCTACCTCACCCCTGGATTCAGCCATTTCTGCAAGAAGCCCTGCTTTCATTTAGTGGGAAAAATATTTAGACACCAGGATCTGGGCATTCGGTGTGCTTACTGCTATCACTACAGTGTTATTGCTTCTAGGCCCACTCAGGAGACAGAGCTAAGAAATAGTATATATACATTACATGCACACACAAATGTATTTTCTAGATCTATGTGCATGTGTTAAAAACAGTGAGCTCATATTGATAACCTACAATTCCATAAATTTTCTCAATATCCCCTGTAAATAAGTCTCTCTACTTTTTAAGTGTAGGTTTGTTGAGATATAATGGTTTAATGGTATATTCACTGAGTTATGCAACCATATTCAATTCTTTTAACATACAAACTATACTGAAAAATTAATGCAGTAAAAAGTGAGAGTCTTGTATATTTTATTCACCAGGAGTAACCACAGTGAGTCCTTTTATACATATTAAGGTAAATAAATACCACATATTGCCGTAAAGAGATGGTAGTGTGGTTAGCTTCAGCTCTGAAACCCCCTTTAAATATTGCTGCCTAGCAAACCCAAATCATAGGCAAGCCAGAAGGGCGGGGAGATGGGGACTGGGGAAAATAGGATGTACTTATATTGGTTGGGTGCCTCTATTAATTGGTTTGGATGTTCCAGGGGCCTTATCTGTGTACTCAGGTACTATTTTTGTTTTTGCAAGGTTGAGGGGAATGATGTGTCGTGATTAGGATGCCTGAAAGCAGATAGAGAAGGAATTTCAGTTGCTGGCAATGTTTGCATCACATCTGATGTCACGCTATCTGTAGACATCTGTGTCCAGCCATTCAGCTCTGCTCTCTTCTGAGAACATGTTTAATTACCCACCAATGTGATTCTCTTAACTGATATTCAGTATATTTGGTGAGAAGTTACAGATCAGTCTCCTCAAAATGAACACTTTATTTCCCTTTACTACTGATTGCCTCCTGCTTATCTATAAAAATGTATCTAAATAAATCGGACAATCCGAGTAGGACACAGTTGGTGATGTGCTGGTGTTTGTGGGAAGGAGTTAGTCATCTTTGACATTTATATATAGACTGGCTCCGGTACTAAAAGAAGCGAGCTTTGCAAGCCCAGGGCAGTGTTTGCATTTGGTTATTTTGGAAGGAGATGAGCACAGGGGTTTGCTGTGATGTGAAGGAAGTTGCACAGTTGGGCTTTGAGATGCAGTCCTCAGCAGCTGCGCCTTGGTGTCTCGGAGCTGCTCACTCGTCCATTGCAGACGTCTATTTGCAAGTCACCTTCTACCTTGGAATTCACCATAGGCCACCAGCAGTTCATCTTGTTCCAG